ATGGGCCTATAATTATTTAATAAAGTGGCCTCCCCACCTTTTAGTAGAGGCAGGACATACGCTGACTTCCACAATTTTGGAATTGTGTTTGTGCTGAGGGAGAGGTTAAAAAGAGTAGTGAGAGGTGGAGCAATAAAATCTGCAGCTATCTTTAAAAAGAAAGGTTCTACGTTGTCCGGGCCGGCCGGTTTCTTAGGATCTAACTTGGTTAAAGCTTCACGAACAACATCAACAGTAAAAGGAGTAAAACTAAAAGGGTTTTCCAAAACACGTTTTTCAGAGTCACAGACTGTGGTGTTCACAGAAGCAGAGTTAGTCACAGAATCAAACAGAGAGCCACAGGACACAAAATGCTCATTAAAACAATTTAACATAGTGGCCCTGTCCGATATAGTGCCAGATGCTGTGGTAATGCACGGAGGTAGCTCATTACGGATATCACCGGTGGATATCGATTTTATGGCTTTCCAAAATTTTCCAGGATTATTCAGGTTCTTTGTGGTAACTGACAGATAATACTTCGACTTAGCACTTTTTATTTGTGATGTGAAGCTATTTCTTAGCTGCCTAAAGCGTAGCCATTCTACCTCTGAGCCTGATTTCCTAGCCTTTGCCCAGGCCTTGTTTCTCTCATGTAGGAGACTAGATAAGTCAGCAGAAAACCAAGGGTTGTCTCGTCCCTTCACTCAAAAAGTGCTCAAACTTCACATATGTGCTAACAGTCCAGCCGTGAAGACATCTACGGGACAGTTTTGAGAAGTCTTCAAATGACGTTGCCATGGCAACACAATGCTCACCATGAAACACGGTTTTCTCATAACTTCAGTGAAAATGCTCGAAATGGCCCAAAACTTCACAGGTTTGGTAACGATGCAGCCATCAACACATCTAAGCGTATTATGGGGTGTCATCAAATGCCGTTGCCATGGCGACAGATAATTCACCATCAAGTTAGTTCCAAAGTTTGCAGTTCAAATATTCTGCTGCTTTTCCAAGCCTTTTTACTTTCTTTTCTCATCTTAATACAAATTCATTCACTACTACTTACATCTGATATTTAACTCCTTCAGCCTATTTTCAGCTGCAGAAACCATTCAACTATTACATTATTCAGCTATTTCAGGACATCAAGGCTATACATGTTGTTGTTTATACCTTTTTTTTAAACCTTTTCTTTTAAATATTAAGCTTTTTCTGCATTTTTGTAGCTAAAAGCAGCTACCATTCAGCTAATAACATATTCAGCTTTTTCTGCATTTTCAGCTAAATTCAGCCACAAATGTTCACAGTTTACAGCATTCGCACGCATTTTCTGCAGGAAATGCATTTTCTAGTGACTGAATATTGATCAGAGTAACAAAGAGAAGGTGAATGTGTGAGGGAGAGTGTTTGAGCTTCCACAGACTCACTCAGTGCTCCATGAGTCAGTGGAGATGCTGTCAGTACTGATGAGCTGTGAGGGAGATGAAGGAGTTGTCAAACATCTGATCAAAGTTAAAGTTCCAGATTATCAGTGGATTGTTTCTACATCATCTCTGACATTAAAACCCTGTTAGACTCTGAACAGATTATTAAACCTGGAGTTATTTCAAACAGGAACATTGTTTTCTAAAGTTACATCATGTTTTCTTTATTCAGACTGAGGCTCTGCAGTTTGTCAGAGATCAGCTGTTCTGCTCTGGTCTCAGCTCTGAAGTCCAACATCCATCTGAGACATCTGGACCTGAGTCTCAGCGATCTGCAGGATTCAGGAGTGGAGCTGCTGAGAGATCTTCTGGAGAGTCCAGACTGCAGACTGGAGACTCTCAGGTCAGTTCACTGACTCTCTGTTACTGCTGGAGATCTCACATGTTCACTTTGTAATTGAACCTCATTTATATTTAGTGCGAATGCTGTGCCACAGCATTCCACTATAGTACTTCAAATCTTTATTCTTTCCACTTATTTCAGCCAATACTTTGGCACTCCATAACTTCAGCTTATTTTCAGCTACAGAAACCATTCAAATATTAAACTATTCAGCCTGTTCAGGAATCAATGGGAAACCTTCACATTTTTTAAAATATGTTATACTTCTTGAAATATTCAGCTTTTTAAACTCTTTTTTTAACATGGAAGTCAATGGGAGAGCTAGACACTTCATTCCAACTTTCAAATGATCACAAGACCTTCAGCTATTCAAACTTGATTTTTATTTTTGATATCTTTTACACTTTTTGAGATATTTAACTTAGTTTGGAGCTTGGTAGAGAGGCCTTTTTCAGATTTTAACATTAGTGTGGATGGTGCAGCTCATTAAGTCTAGAGTGCTTTGATCTCAAAACAGAGTGCAGCAGTGCTCTCCAAAAAATGTTTTAAACTTGCCATAATTCCCAAACCCTACACTCCTCAGACATATTTTTTCATGAAAAACGTAGGAAAACCTCTCCTAGGTTGGAAAATAAAAAAAAATTAAGAAGAAATATTAAACCAAATGCCTCTTGAGGGCATGAAGAGACAAAAAGTCCACCTAGCTCCCAATTGATTCCCATGTTAAATCTTTCCGGAACTTTCTTCAGAACAGAGAGAAGTACACTTTAGACAAACTGCTCGCATCTCCACATTTTACACACAAAACCAAAAACAACAACATATATCAGTTCATTGGGGTTCCCTGATGCTCACGGTCTGGTAATGTTTTGATAGGAGCCATAGTTTTTGAACAGGTGGCAAAAATGTCAGATATAATCCTCAATGCATTCTTAATGGGACTCAGTGCTGCAGTTGGTAAATCGTCATAAGTCGTCATCATGGTAACCTTTCATCTCTGGGTTTACACACACAGGTGTTTGTAAACATTCATTCACTCCTACTTACATTTAATATCTTTATTTAACTCCTTCAGCCTAATTTCAGCTACAGAAACCATTCAAATATCAAACTATTCAGCCTTTTCAGCACATGATGGGACACTTTCAACTTTTTCAAAATATGTTATACTTTTTAAAACATTCAGCTTTTTAACCTGTTTCACGCCTTCCCCCCGGTACCGGGCGGATAAACGCGTCATTTGCAGGAAACAACGTCTAAGGAATCTTAATATTGAATAAAACTATGAATGTGTTATATCCATGTAACGGGAAGAAACTCAGCTAACTGATCTTTTTAAAAAAAAAATTCAAAAAAAACTCACAATGCTAGCACTCAGCCTCTGAATTAGCCTCGATCGAAAAAACGGGACCGACAAAGGCACATAAACTCACTCAGAACTCCCTTATTACTTATCCTAGATGCACAACCAAACACTTTTTTGGTGTCCTGGAGACACTGAATCTAACGGTGCCCACCTCAACACTCAGTGATAAACATTCGCGACGCTATCAACGAAAGCGTACATCATCACATGTGGAGCCAAGAAGCTAAACATGTAAATATGACTTACCTTGGTCAAAAGTGGTCTTCAATGGCATTAAAACGATAAAAAAACGATGCTGCAGTTAATCCATAGGTTCATCCTATGTGTCTGTGCCTTCTTTGAAATTATTTCTGATAATCCATAAGCAATACAACTGCGTTTTAGTTTCCAAACTCCAGAAGGAGACATTCCTCCAGTTTAGTTTCGCTTTCCACACGCGAAGCGGCAACATTTTTTCTTTACAATGTGTGTCTATGTGATTCTCCTCCTTCGATTCTATTGGCTCTAACGGTCACAAGGGTATGTCAACCAACCAGATCGAGCAAGGGGGGCCAGAGATAGGTCAAATCCACCCAAATGACCCCAGATGGCCCAGTTTTTGGCTAAATCTCTCTAAAAAGGTCAAATTTCACTTGTTTTGCATCAATCTTGATACAGGGTACTTATTATATGTTGTACTTTGGATTCCTAAAGCTTTTAGTCTACTAACCCATCATCCAAGGGTAGTTTTCACTATCTGTAAAAAATAATTTTGGACGGACACTATAATTTACAGTTTTTTACTATGTAAAATCTGAATTTTCTTTAAAATAAAAAACATTTATATTGATTCTGACACTTCTACATCCAACTCACAGGTTTATCATTACTTTGAGAAAAGATTATTAATTTAACCCTTTTAGAAGGGAAGATATGGTCATTTGTTCTGGGAATGTCATTTTCGAGCCTGAGACCTGAAAAACAGGCTCAGAGTGGAACAGGTTAAAGGTTTTCTCATAACTTCAGTGAAAATGCTCGAAATGGCCCAAAACTTCACAGGTTTGGTAACGATGCAGCCATCAACACATCTAAGCGTATTATGGGGTGTCATCAAATGCCGTTGCCATGGCGACAGATAATTCACCATCAAGTTAGTTCCAAAGTTTGCAGTTCAAATATTCTGCTGCTTTCCCAAGCCTTTTTACTTTATTTTCTCATCTTAATACAAATTAATTCACTACTACTTACATCTGATATTTAACTCCTTCAGCCTATTTTCAGCTGTAGAAACCATTCAACTATTACATTATTCAGCTATTTCAGGACATCAAGGCTATACATGTTGTTGTTTATACCTTTTTTTAAACCTTTTCTTTTAAATATTAAGCTTTTTCTGCATTTTTGTAGCTAAAAGCAGCTACCATTCAGCTAATAACATATTCAGCTTTTTCTGCATTTTCAGCTAAATTCAGCCACAAATGTTCACAGTTTACAGCATTCGCACGCATTTTCTAGTTCCTTTTAACGTACTGAAGTAAGAACTGCAGACATACATGTTGACTGTTTCTTAAAGTAACTGTAATAGATGTTAGTTGTAAAAAGTAAATCTATTTATTTAATATTTAGTAAACAATAACGTCTGAATAAAGGTCATCTGAAGCCATTTTAGTTTTACATGATAAAGTTTACTTTCTGAAGTAGACATCATTTTCTGTTCAGATTCATTTAAATGTTGAGTAACATCTGATTGGATTATAAACAGATTTGTATCCTCATCATGTTTTCTTTATTCAGACTGAGGGACTGCAGGCTGTCAGAGATCAGCTGTTCTGCTCTGATCTCAGCTCTGAAGTCCAACATCCATCTGAGAGATCTGGACCTGAGTCACAACACTCTGCAGGATTCAGGAGAGGAGCTGCTGAGAGATCTTCTGGAGAGTCCAGACTGCAGACTGGAGACCCTCAGGTCAGTAAGGGGTCTCTGCTGGTTCAGCAGTATTGTATTAAACACAGGGAGGCGTTTCTCTCACTGGGGAATCACAACAGATCAGTGATGTTACCCACTGACTGCAGGCTCTTTCATTCTTCCATCAACTATAGAAGGCCAGCTGAAAATGCAAAGCCACATTTAGTAAGTAATCAACTTTCCACCAGACATATGGGATTTGACAGAAGAGTGGAAAAGGTAGTCTGTTTTTGATGGGATGTTTTTAGTTCCTTGACTAATGACTGTTACTTCCTGTAACGCAGCTGAGAGCTGTGGCAGTCAGTCGTAGTGTTTGCAGAGAAGATATGATGGGATGTAAAGCATGAGATCAGTCAGGACTCTGAAGCTGACTCAAAGAACAAACACTTATTTTAAACTGGATCCATAACTGTTGGATTGTGTTCATCCCTGCAGGATCAGAGATGATGAGACGATCAGAGCCAAGATCCAGAAGAACTGTGAGTACTGAATATCCTCCATTCATCAAGATATGAAACTCTTCAATGGAGCATGTCCTCAGAGGAAAACAACACTCTTGTTTTTCTCTCTTCATCATTTTGGCTCTTTCTCTTCACAAGAACTGTCTATCAAAACAGTGACGCGTGAGTAAAAGTAGAAGTACAAGAGTGTAGGAATACTCTGTTACAGTAAAAGGCCTGCATTCAAATGTTACTCAATACAAGTAGAAAAGTATTAGCATCAAAATATAGTTAAAGTACCAAAAGTAGTCATTGTGCAGATTGGTCCATTTCAGAATAATATAAGTTTAAGATAAGTTTTATAATTATTGATCATATCAGGTATTAAATACATGTAGTGGAGTAAAAGTACACCATGTACCTCTGAACTGTAGTGGAGTAGAAGTACAAAGTAGCATAAAATGGAAATAGTCAGGAAAGGTACAAGTACCTCAACATTGTATTTAAGTGTGGAGGCGTGTGGCGCAGTGGCTAGAGCGTTGGTGTTCGGATCAAGGGAGCACAGATTCAAACCCCACTGCAGTCAGCATGTCGTTGTGTCCCTGAGACACTTCACCCCAAATTGCTTCTGTGGGGATTGCCCACAGTATTGAGTATGTTAGTCGCTTTGGATAAAAGCGTCTAACAAATAACATGTAATGTAAAAGTACAGTACTTGAGTAAATGTACTTAGTTCCTCTCCTGGTCTGTAAAGCTCTCCCAACATATGCAGGTTAGCATTCGGCAGCTTCTATGTGCTGGGGACCCGTACTGTACATTTCTCTCATCACACTTTGGGCTCCTCAACATGTGTGGGTTCCCAGCAGGACTCTCTGAGCTGCAGACACATTCTTTCTGTGACTTTGTTCCAGATATTTGGAGCATAATAACTGAAGCTGTTTCTCCATGTTCAGGAACTCCCATCCCCCGAGTCCTGCGGCAGGAAGCGCTCCTTCTCTCCAAGAACTCCTGGACCCTGCAAGCTGGTCCAGAACCAGAGTCCCAGTGAGGAGTCCAGCCAGTCCACCTCTCAGAGTTAAACTAAACTACAACATTATTAAAGATCATGTTTAAAGTTAAAAAAGGATGCTTTCAGACTGAATCCAGAAGTTTCTCAAGCTGCAGTCAAAGCAGGTCATTTGAGGAATATATAAAACAATTATAAAACTGTAATAAGAATTACTCTGAATACTTTCTTTGGACATTTTATTTACATTTCTTTTAAACAAATATTTCAAATGTTTCTGACTTTCTATCCGAGTGCTTTTCTCATGAATTAACGACTTCATTTCATTTCCATCTTTATTTCGAACAGATTAAAAAAACAAATAAAAAATAACAAATGTGAAAAGCAGAATACCGTATTGTTAGAATACAGTATTTATCAATATTCATATTAATAATAATAATAAATCATATGTGTCCGAAAGGGAGCGGGAGGAAGCAAATGCTTATTAATTCCCACCCCTTACTTACCGCTGATCAATGATTATCCTTTAAATCATTTCTGCAAGTTATTCCTACTTACATATTTACATTTATACATACATTTACAATAATCTCTCATCTTCAATCACCTTAATTCATTCTCATAGTTTTCCAAGAAAGTGTTTCTGTACATCCTTTTAAAGTGAATTATATTTGTGCTTTGTTTGAACTCCTGCTCCAAACCGTTCCATCAAATCACCCCACAGATTGTTCTACTCATACTTCTCACAGTTGTTCTGACCTTGAGTTGTTTCAAATGTAGATTTCCTCTCAAATTATACCCGCCCTCTCTGTCTATGAACAATGTTTGTAATTTCCTAGGAAGTAGATTATGTCTTGCATGATTTGTGCCGTTTTAAATGTAACCAGATCAGTAAACTTCAGTGTGTGTGACTTCAAGAATAATGAATGAGTGTGTTCAAGATATCCAACATTATTGATTATTCTTATAGCCCTTTTTTGTAATGTGCATAACGGCTGTAGGTTGGTTTTGTAAGTGTTTCCCCAAATCTCCACACAGTAACTCAGACATGGCAATATGAGTGTATTATACAGAGCATAATGAGTTGTAGTCCAGAATGTGTCTTGCTTTCCCCAATATTGAGATAGTCTTAGCCAGTTTAGCTTTTACATGATTGATATGAGGTTTCCAGCTGATCTTGTGGTCTCAAACCACACCAAGGAACTTCATTTCATATACTCTTTCTATGTTTATGTTATCTAGTATTAATTGCACCTGAGGATTTGTTTTATGTTTTCCAAATAGCATAATATTTGTTTTGCTTATATTTAATGTTAATTTGTTCTTAAATCTTTTTTTTTTTCTTGTGTATTTCATAAACAGGATATTTGATTTTTTTATAATAAATATTATTTTCTCAGCTCTGTGATAAAAAACAGATTTTTAGAATAAATATCCCACTTCTTGTACTTATATCCTGATTGATGAGTCAGCAGTAAAGCAGCCAGGCGTTATTGGTCAGCTGGCATGTGTATCTGTTCATTGGCTCATATGTGTAGCATGTTTAATGGCAGTGTGTTGAAAATGGCTGACAGGTGAATATGTCAGATCTCTGTGTGTTACTCAGAGAACCGTGTGCAGTGTTTTATAAAGTGCAGAGTTGAATTGCAGATTGTGTGCAGAGCTGAAAATGTGTTTAGAGTTCTGTTTGATTTGATCCAGCCAGTTCTGCCACAGCAAAGCATAAGGGCTCAGAGCTTGGACCTATTGTGTTCACATTATATACGCTTCCTTTAGGCAATAAGGAATCACTCGGGACATTTTCATTGTTATGCGGATGATAGTCAATTACACACAATGTAGACAAAAGTATTGGACCACCTACACATTAGAGAGATACCGCAGGTCCTTCCTTCCTGCAGCGGTCAGACTATATAACCACCACGACCCCTAGTAGACCCCCCACACAACAACACAGACTACAACACCTATTATCATTTATTTTTTAAATCTTTAATACTTTGTTGTATGCATGCTTTAGGTAACATGAAGCTGTCTCTGGCTCTTTCTGCTGTAACAATGTACATGTATCCTCTGTGGGACTAATAAAGGTATTCTGATCTGATTCTGATTCTGATTACACCTACAGGAGCTTTCAGGACATCCCATTCCAAACTCTTAGGCATTCATTTGAAGTTGGTCCCCCTTTGCAGCTATAACAGCTTCCACTCTTCTGGGAAGGCTTTCTACAGATCTTGGAGTGTGTCTGTGGGAATTGTTGCTCATCCAGAAGAGCATTAGTGAGGCCAGTGGCGGTTTTATATGTACAAAAGGGGTGGGGCACGAACGGCGGGGGGGGGGAATTACATAATGTCGGAAGCCATGAATGAAGAACACGGAGCAACACTGTCAGCGCATACATTTACATGCACAGCGTGGGGATGTCATATTGTAATGCACCTTAATACATGCAGTAAAGGGCACCATCACAAAGCAATACTTAACAATAACAACAACCGTAATGCTTCAGCATTAAACACCAGACTGTAAATATAAGTATCACCGAGGTCACAATATCAATGGATCCAGCAGAGCAATAGCCTAAAGGCAAAACACAGAAGATCAACAAAATATATGACATAAAATGAACTTACCAAAGCTGAAGTCGATAGTCAACTTCATTCATTTTCTTTCCGTTTGACTGATTTTAATCGCTCTACGCTGCTCTCTCTCGTCTCCTCTTCACAACTACACTTTTCGCGGCACACGTACTTACAGCCAATCAGCTCTGAATTATGAGATGACATTTTGGTGGGGCTGCCAGCACTCTGCCCCACTTGTGATTATTTTTTTGCCGCACACATTAAATACAAAAATACTCTGAGCAGGCGCAGTGTAGTTTTTACATTCATTCATTTCTACAGCGAGAGAGGGGCTAGATCGAGGCTTGTCCCACATCGCTCTACACGGCACAATAGGTACACTGTAGACACTAATTAGCAAAATAGCAATGTACAGACGAATCAGATGACTAAACATGATCTTAAAATATATTTTAAGATGTATATTCTTTGCATATTTTTGGAATTATTATTTTAATTACTTTCTGCTGACACTAGGTGGGGCTGTGTCCCTAATGACGAGTCACCACTGGTGAGGTCAGACACTGATGTTGGACGAGAGGCTGGCTCTCCGTTCTAGTTCATCCCTAAGGTGTTCAGTGGGGTTCAGGTCAAGTTCTTCCACACCAAACTCATCCACCCAGGCCTTGATGGAGCTGCTTTGTGGGGCTACGTCATGCTGGAACAGAAAGGTTCTTCCTCCCCAGACTGTTTCCACAAAGTTGGAAGCATAGAATTGTCCAAAACGACTTGGTAAGATGAAGCTTTAAGAATCCTCTTCACTGGAGCTAAGGGGCCGAGGCCAACCCCAGAAAAACAACCATAGCATTACCCCTCCTCCACCAAACTTTACAGTTGGCACGATGCAGTCAGGCAGGTAACGTTCTCCTGCATTCCCCTAACCCAGCCTGGTCCATCAGAGGTCCTTCACATGCTGATATACAAGAGAGGGAGTTACACAGTCACAAGATGGAGGAATATAAAGCAGTATTCAATGTTTAGTTCAGATTAGCTCCACGTCAGAAATGATCATGCTTGTCATATGTCTATCTCCATCGAGGCTGAATCATCATGTTAATCACATAGCTATAAGCTATCATATGCCTAAAACAGTCCTGATGCTCTTCTAGGTAATCATACATCCTGTCATGTACACAGCTACAGTTGGGATACCTTTGTTATCATGTTACTCTCATGTTGGAAGAGGACATTCAGTATTTTCCAAACAGTGGAATATCTAGGAGAGAAGACATTTCACAAACTGACTTGTTGCAACGGTGGCCTCCTATTACAGAACCATGTTGGAATTCAGCGATCTCTTTAGAACGACCCATTCTTTCACAAATGTTTGTAAAGGCAGACTGCATGGCAAGGTGCTTGATTGTATACAGCTGTGGCAATGGGACTGAATGAAACACCTGAGTTCATTGATTAAAACCTGTTTCACACCTTCCCCCCGGTACCGGGCGGATAAACGCGTAATTTGCAGGAAACAACGTCTAAGGAATCTTAATATTGAATAAAACTATGAATGTGTTATATCCATGTAACGGGAAGAAACTCAGCTAACTGATCTTTTTAATTTTTTTTTTCAAAAAAAAACCACATTGCTAGCACTCAGCCTCTGAATTAGCCTCAAGCGAAAAAAACGTAACATACTAAGGCAACTAAACTCACTCTAACTCCCTTATTACTTATCCTAGATGCACAACCAACCACTCTTTTTTGGTGTCCTGGAGACACTGAATCTAACGGTGCCCTCCTCAACACTCAGTGATAAACATTCGCGACGCTATAAACGAAAGCGTACATCATCACATGTGGAGCTAAGAAGCTAAACAGTACTATGGCTTACCTTGGTCAAAAGTGGTCTTCAATGGCATTAAAACGATAAAAAAACGATGCTGCAGTTAATCCATAGGTTCATCCTATGTGTCTGTGCCTTCTTTGAAATTATTTCTGATAATCCATAAGCAATACAACTGCGTTTTAGTTTCCAAACTCCAGAAGGAGACATTCCTCCACTTTGGTTTCGTTTTCCACACGCGAAGCAACCACATTTTTTATTTACAACATGTGTTGGTGGGAGCCTCCCCCTTCGATTCTATTGGCTCTAACGGTCACAAGGGTATGTCAACCAACCAAATCGAGCAAGGGGGGCCAGAGATAGGTCAAATCCACCCAAATGACCCCAGATGGCCCAGTTTTTGGCTAAATCTCTCTAAAAAGGTCAAATTTCACTTGTTTTGCATCAATCTTGATACAGGGTACTTATTATATGTTGTACTTTGGATTCCTAAAGCTTTTAGTCTACTAACCCATCATCCAAGGGTAGTTTTCACTATCTGTAAAAAATAATTTTTGGACGGACACTATAATTTACAGTTTTTTACTATGTAAAATCTGAATTTTCTTTAAAATAAAAAACATTTATATTGATTCTGACACTTCTACATCCAACTCACAGGTTTATCATTACTTTGAGAACAAAGATTATTAATTTAACCCTTTTAGAAGGGAAGATATGGTCATTTGTTCTGGGAATGTCATTTTCGAGCCTGAGACCTGAAAAACAGGCTCAGAGTGGAACAGGTTAAGAGGAGTGTCCCAATACTTTTGTCTATAGTGTGTGTCAGTGTA